ATGTGAGAGATGTGCCTCTAATCTGGAATAGTCTGTGGTCTGGAAGTTGGACATTTTCCTGGAGATAATGGACAATATGTGCAATATAGGAATTACCCTTAGGCAAAAAAAAAGAGGGAACAGAACTTACATCTCTTCAAGTATTGTATAAAGGTGTTGGGGAGCAGGAGGAAAGTGTTACATGTTTTTAAAGAAAGGAGGTATTTGCTACATATTTGTTGATCTTTCAGATGTTCACTTACCAGACTGCATAAAAAAAATCCCAACCCTTCAGAAATACCCCCATCTAGTTTCTGGATCCCTATTGGTTTTGAACCTGTGCTACCCTGTCAGTGCTGAAGCTTTTATTGACATGGACAGACATAGGAAGTTCAATTAAAGAGCCCGATTCTTGCAGGGTTGGTTGTCAGCTGAACATGTTTTTTTTCAGAATGAGGATTTTGGAGCTGGGTGCTTAGATTCCCTTCAAACCCTTTCTGAGGATTGGCACACAAAATGTTTTTGGTAACAGTTCAAAGTTGTTAATAAATGCTGTAATAACCTGAGGGTTTTCTTTAAATGCAAATATTTGAAAGTGAACAGATGCAGTAGCAAATATTAAGTGAAAAAGAATTACTGATAGAATAGCTTTAAGTATTAGCATAGAATCCCTAACTATTCTTCTGTTTCAAAGGAAATGTGATTGGACCCTTGTGTATTTGATCATCTGTAATTTAGGCTCTGTGTAAACACATGCTTATAGATTTAACTGTGCACTTTATATTAATATTACATTTACCTGAAGGTTATTGGAACTATGCAGACATTACTACTGTGCATTTTGTAGTGTCAGGATCCTGTGGTTAATTTTTTCTATTTTGCCATGAAATAGGCTGTTACAATTGGAACAAAATGATATATTTAATTCAGTTTTTATGAAGTCTCTTATGGGTATCCTCAGTAATACTGTTTCTTTCCTCTCCTCTCAGGATGATAACGGCCTATGTTACCCTTCAAGCAAAAGCCACCCTCAGACTTTTGCCTACCTGATTGTGGATCCCTGCAAACGGCACGTGCATACTCTGTATCACTCTTTTGGTGGAAGTTTATTTAGTAATGACGTATAAACCTGGCTGTTCTCCAGCTTTATAATGGAGGTGGCTTTCTTTGCAAGAATTCAGGTAGAAATACCCTCGTTTCGTTACGGGGAGGGATGTGCTCCTTGGTTACACACCGTGAATGGCTACACCTTCACGTAGATGTTACGTGGTTACTGACAGAAGTTCTGTGCAATTTTCTGTGTTTAAAAGGCGTAGTTCTTGAAGCCGTTTTCCTGACAGTTTTGTCCCCCCCTTCGCTCGCCCTTTTATCTAATTAAAGGTATTTCTTTAGATGTCTTTTCAGCTTTTCAGATACA